AAGCATGTCTCCAATGTGGTCTGAGATGGCTTCCCAGCAGACCTCGCACCAGATGGCTTCCCCGTCGTGATGACACCCACACCACGCTGCTGCACAAGTGTGAGGGATTCTCCCTTGAGCTAGTTGTCATCTTTCAGAGCTTCGTAAACCCCAACTTCCTTTCCTTGTCATTTCACCTTGGCATGGTTGACATCTGGATACTGAGTCAGGAATGGTTTCCCCAGGTAATGACATTCTTATTATCATCAACAGTGATGCCAAGTTTAAGAGCAATTTGAGCTTTTGCTCAGTTGTGATCCAAATGAGTCAAATGACTGAGTTCTCCCTGGGGACGGATGGGGCTGACTAGGAGGCAGTCCGGCAGTTGGTACTGGCTGGGTTTCCCACAACAATAACCTTAAGTGACTTCTTGGTATATTCCTCCAAGGCTGCTCCCTGGCATTTAAAGATGTTCACATGGGTTTTCAGTAATACTTTCCTCTCCATGCCTTCCTTTCTTGGCATGGGACCTACGAGAATGGTCTCATCCAGGTCTTTGAAGGCAATGTCTTCTTTATCTATGGCCATGACATTTTTCAAGAGGGAAGGGCAGTCTGGCAGTTCCATGAGGACACTATCCAGGACACATATCATAGGGGTGATAACCAACAGCATGAGAATTATAGGCTGGTCTTTACCAAAAATCCATTTCCAGTGCTATGCAGCAGTGAGTAAGCAATCTGACCAGCTGCTCCAGTCACACGGACTCTAAGTGGTTCAGACATGAAAGGTAACTGCATGGACAATTTCACCATCTGCAAAATGAGTCTCAAAGAGCCAGGTCACTTCTACCATGGAACTGACTGCAAAGCTATAGTTTTAATAAGAAGAGAAAAGCAGAAAGTCCCCAAATGTTTGAAAATTAAACCTAACTTTTAAACTATTCCATGAGAATCAAAATGGGAAATCCCAACTTTTCCACAAAGGGCTTATAAAAATGGCAACACATCTGTAAAGAACACACTAGATTAAACTACACAGGATTTGAGGCTCGAATCAGAGTTCTTTCTGCCCAGCTTCACCCAGAAACATTGTTCTGTGGTCCTACCTAGGACATCTGCCATCTCTGATAGCCTTGAGTTTAGGGGCTCAATTATAGCCTGTCTTACTTCAATTTTTCATTGCTGACATAAACATCTCACACTAAGAACTAGAGGTTTACTCAGCTCGCCGTTCGGGGAGGTCTGAAGGATAGCAGCCAACTTCTGCTGAAGCTACAGTGTGGCAGAGGGCAGGAACTTGAGCAGAGTGGCTGTCTAGATTTTTGCATGTTCTGAGCTGTACCCATTTGGCCTCTGCTTGCCTCATTTTCTCTCACTAGGTATACACTAGAACTCAATTACAGGAGCCTCCCTAATGACCCCAACATGGGACATCATGAAGGGATAAGGTTCTCATGTAACATTTTTACAATGCATGCAAGTCCAATTACATTAATGCTGAGGGGACAGCCAATCACCACCCACTAAGACCAACTTCCAAAATATGAACCTTTGGGGAACAAACCATTATCCAAACCATTATCCAAGTAATGGTTAACGGCCATTAAGGACATGTGTTGTTTATGTCATACACAATACACAATACTATTTTCTTCTTGTTGATGGTTGACTTGATTAAAAACCTAAGTGTCAGGATTTTTTTTTTCCCTGTATGGTGAATAAGAATTAACTTAGCAGATTTTTTGTTTTTTGTTTTTTTTAGCCTCTGCTGGCCATGACTGTTAATTGTGTATAAGACCTTTGAAAGAAATACTCAAGGAATACCTAGGAATAGAAACCTAAATAATTTAGGAAGTTTTAGGTCTTAAGAATAGAAATCTAAAACAATTTTCTAATCTTAAATTCACTGAGAGGAAATATCTTTTTTTAAAGAATTATTTTATTTAACTTTATTTATTATTATTATCGTTATTATTTTCCAGTTTGATCAGAGAGACAGAGAGACAGAGGAAGTGAAAAAGCAAGCCACCAGGTCCAAGACTTGAACCGTGGTGGGCCATGTGGGAGTCCAATACCTTTAACCACCATGCCACTTGCCGGCCCCAGAGAGGAAATATCTCCTTAAGTTGATTCATGTTGTAGTATATCTCTACAGTGTGCCATAAGATACATCCGAAATAGTATTTAAAAATAACTCAGCGGCCAGCTGGTGGTGTTGTGGGTAGAGCAGTTGGATTCCACATGAGTGACTGTGTGGTTCGAGTCCCAGACACAATGGTTTGAAAAAGTACACTGGTTGCCCATGCATGTGCCCAAGATCCTGACAGGAGAATGGAGGGAAAAGGATTGCAATGTAGTGATCCCCTGGGGAGGTGCTTTCTCACTCCCTCCCCCCCCTTTCAGGGGAGCACAGGTGCTCTATGGAAAATCAGGAAAGAAATAGAACTTGGTCCATTTCTATTAAATTAGCAAATGCTAATAATAAACATTGCTAAAATAGCATTGTATGTGCTACTATGCATTTTCCAACGACCACAGTCTTTATGTGTTAGCTATGATTTTTACAGATAGTCAAATTGTCAGGGAAAGCGTTTATTACCGAGCACAAAGCTTTAAGGACACTTAATGTTTAATTAATTTTGTGACATTTAGCATGCCAAACAGCTCTTTGTATTTATTCTTTAAAACAAGTGAATGGGACTAGAGTCAGTTCTAAAGTTCTGACTTTAAAGTACTTTTCTGATTCAGAAAAGAGAAAGCGTCGGTACCTAGCATCTGGGAACACGTTGGTTGAACATGTGGACTAGATAACAGGAAATAACCTTCAGGTGTCATTTGATTTGCTTCTATTGTTTTTTGTCGTTGCTTATTTTGAGAGAGAGACAGAGAGACAGAGACAGAGACACTCACACCTAACAAGATCTTCCCTTCACAATCCACTCCCAGCCTCTGCTAGCCAAGATCACAGATGTGCAGACCTCCAGGCTTGATCCCTGGATGTTGCCATGTGGCTTCAGCCTCAGGGAAGATTGAGCTTCCACTGAGCCATCCTGGCTGGCTGTGTTTGTATTCTTTTTTTGAAAAAGGTTGTTTTGGTCTCACATTTCTTCCTTGGAGAGATAGCAATTACAATGATAAATTGTTTCTTTGTATGAATTATGCAATGAACAAACGCTCATGGTAAATAATTCCAATGGCACAGAAAGGCCTCTCTTGTGGACGCTTCTATGCACCAGGAAACACATGCGTGCATTTTTAAACCACAAATGGTCTCATATTACGATGTTGTTTTTTGAGCCAAAGAAGTACCATCCATTTCAAGGGTCAAACAAGGTGAAGCTATTCCCTCTTACAGCATTCCTTTTTTTTTTTTTTTGGCTCTTACTAGCTACAAAATTCTAGAAATGATCTACACTGAAAAAGTCCTGAGGAAACAGGAGCGCTTCGTGGTAAGAGGTAAGTAACAACCGCCTCGGAAATGTGGGTGAATCACGGTCTGCCCTGCCAAACGCCCAAACTCGGCGGTCCGGGGACAGCTGATGCTGTCCGGAGCCAGGAACGCCCCAAAGGGCAGGGCTCACTGCGAAGGGAGGGGATGGATGCTCTCGGGCTGCGCTGGGTGGGGTGCTCGCCTGGAGTGCGCTCCCCACTTGGGCACAGGGGTGGGACGGCAGAGGGAGGGGGCGGGTGCTCGCAGATTGCGCTGGGGTGGGGTGCCCGCCTGGTGTCCTCCCGCCACGTGAGTTCAGCTGATGGACAGTCAGCAGCGAGCAGGCGGATCTCTAGGGGTGTCTGCCTGGTGCCTCTGTCCCTTCTGAGCTCACTGCAAGGGTCTGCAGGGAGGAGGACAGGTGTTCGGTGAAGAGAAAGCTGTCCGCTCGGCGACACCCTGCCCAACCACGCAGTCCGAGGGGTCTGCGGGCAGGAGAAGGGTGCTGAGTTGGGTGGGCGTCTGATCCTCATCCTCTCTCCACGTGAGCGCAGCCCGAGGTGTTCTTAGGGAGGGAGCGGATGCTCGGGTTGGGGGATGGTGTTGGCTTGGACCCAGTGTTCAGGTGATCGCAGTTGGCCGAGATCTGTAGTAAGGGATGATATTGGGGGGTTGCCTCTGCAGGGAGCCCCTCCCACGCGTGCGCAGCCCGGGCTGGGCGTTGGGCGGAGGGAGGGGTCGCGGGCAGCCACGTGGCCTCGCAGGAATG